ATTTTTGGAATTGGGCAAAAATTAAAAAACCCGAATTACTATTTAATTATTACATGATATATACGTCAATCATATGACGCATTTATTAAACTGAACCCCAAAAACAATAAAACTAATATAATTAACACGTCAAACCCACTTGTATAATTAGCAAGTTATTTAACTTTATTTTAGAGTTTTGATGAAGTTAGTAAGAGTTTATGTTTCTATGCAAATATTTTACAACTATCAATCTAATTTTAATAATATTTACTAATTTATAGACAAAGTTTTTCTCTATCTACTGTATAAATTTCATACAATTTTCATCAATAATCAATTAAAAAATTAACAAAAATAAAAATTTTATAGTTCAATATTTTAGACTAATTTTTTTAATAAGTATTGATCTAAAACATATAATTTTTTTATTTAATAGATATATATTTTCTCTATAAAATAAAAAAATATCAAAATCTAATTACCAGTTGTAGAAATAATTCAAATAATCTATCCTAACATATAAAATTTTATTTATTATTGTATATCATAATTATCTTGTCAACAAGTGATAGATTTAAACTTTTTTTATTTTGTAGAGAAGTAGTATTTTTAAATAAAAAAATTATTTAATTTTAATCATTAAAAGCTAAGATAATTAAGGTTAAAATTCACTATTAAATTTGCAATTTTATGACATAATTTTATCAGTAATTGTCACAATTATTATATAATATGATTATTAAGATAATACTCAATATCAATATATATTTACTATTCTATAAAAATACTCATTTATGTTATAAAGAAGCCTATTTACAAAAATATTTACCTGTTTATAAAAATCTAATTGCAAAGATATTATCTCATAAAGATATCTAACTATTCATTCACCTATCTATTAGTTTCACTAGTCAATATTTAACTATTTATTTATCTACCTACTATTAAGACACTCAACTATCTACCACCTATCAAAACACCCAACTATCCAACACCTGTAAAGATATCTAACTATCTACTACCCATTAAGATATTTAACTATTTACTACCCATCAAAATACCCAATTATCTATCTACCTATACAAAATATTATCTATCTATCTATTTATTACAATAACTAACTATTTAGTTATCACATTTTTTATATTTATTCTTTCTTTTCCATATTCTAATTTTATTTAATTTTAAACTAAAAGTACTGTGAAAATTCGGTTTAAAGTGGATAATTTTGGCGTTTGGGCTTTCCATTGTCATATTGAGGTAAAAGTTTTATAATGATTATAATATTTATATATTGAATGATGCAATGTACTTAATAATTTTTGATTTGGATTTTTTTTTTTTTTGGAAAAAAGTGGCATATCGAAGTTGGGATGATGTCTCAATTTGTTGAACTTCCACTTGAACTTCTCAACTTGAAGCCATCAGATGAAACTATATTTATCGATAAAGTTGGTGAAAGTGTACCCTTAACAACGTGGAAAAATTTGTGTAATCCGCCAACGGATGGTGAAAAGCCAACGGAGGATGAGGAAGAGGATGATTGGCAAAACTACTGCACAAGTCTAGTTTAACCGAGTAATAATGCTTTTTTATTTCACCGACAGTTTATTTCACCGAAACTCATTTCATAGGCAAATTTTTTTTTTATAAATTCCACTAACCTTAACTCTAATTCTGACCCGACCCTAACGACAATGACCAGAATTATTTTATCGGTGAAATAAGGTTCGGTGAAATAAACTGTCGGTGAAATGGAAAATGAATGTCGGTGAAATAACATGTCGGTGAAATGTTATTTCTACGAAACGACCGTCGGTGAAGTGACCTGAACTGATAAATAGTATATTAGGTAGTAGTAGATCATAATCCTGGTGTATAATAAGAGTAATATATGAAGTATAGTAAGAAAAATAAAAATAGTAGCGTAGTATAATTTTATATACTTATACTTTTTAAATTACCAGACATATCAAACTTATAAGTATAAAGACAACCATATTTATATCAGTATTATAGACACAGACATTTGAAGACGTATGGACAGTGTTGGCATTGGATATATGGGGTCTTTGCCTTGAAAATCAAGTCATGGGACATAGTAAATCATATGTCCCATACTTGATTTTCAAGGC